ATTCACCCCCCCAAAGATCAAGACCACAGGCACTGCTTATAGCTAACATCGCGTCCTTGCCAGACCCCGAGAGATCCAAGGTAACTGGCACCCTCGGACTTTGTGTGTGCCACGGCCTCTCTAAGTCCGGTGGGTCTGCCTCCTCCTCGTTTAAGACTGTTCGTTATGTTCCGGCGCAGCATAACAGACACAAAACCCGACAGGCCGGCTATAGGAACTTATTTTTACGGAACCGGATTTAACACTGCGCTGACGGTTGGACGGCGCGCATCTACGCCAGGCTCCTCCGCAGTCCGTGGTGACATGCAAGTCACCCCAGCATGGCGTACTGTGCAAAGCTTGTGCGCCTCGACAGGCTCCGCAAGGCTCAGGTCTGGTTACTGCGATTAGAACACCATCGGTTTTGTCATACAGACTCATCAGTCGCCAGTCGTCAATCGGTGCCAGCAGGATCGTCGTCGGTATTGTCAAGACACCATTGTATGATTCGGGGAGCCAATATTAAACTTTCGTACACTGAATTCGCCCAAGTCTACCCCTAAGTAACATCTCTGTTCAGTATATCATCAGACATGCGCTCCGCCCTTCCTCAGCCCATCTCAGGAGAAAGCATGCAATGTAAAAGTAAAAGTACATGTCACTACAACCTGGACGTCATCTCCATCGGAATGTACGATCTCAACTTTTGCAGCTGAGCCTTGTGCTTCGCCTTGACCATGCCCACCACCATCTCGTTCGCCGGCATGTCGACGCCAAGCCTCTTGCCCCGCTGGATGAAATACCCGTTCAGGTAGTCAATATCCGTCAGCTGACCGCGTTCAATCTGCATCACCATCTTGCTCGGCGAGCCCTTCTTGCCCCTCAGCCGACCGATGGTGTCCTTCCGCATGCCCTCCCCGCGAAGCGCCGCCTGCAGCATGGGCGACGCCCGTCTGAGCTCCGGCATGCGCTCCACGACGTTGGCGATCTCGTCGAGCAGCTGGCCGATGAGGCGGTTCGCCGTCGGGTTGAACAGGAGCTGCTCGTAGTGGCAGTCGAGCAGCACGCAGATGGGGTCGACGACGGAGGAGAACATGAGGGAGGGGATCTTGAGCGTGAGCCAGCTGTCGAGCGGCAGGCCGCGCGCCCGCAGATCCGTGGCCGCCGCAAACTTGGACAGCATGCCTTGCGTGCGCAGCCACTTCTCGCTCGAGGGGTCCAGCTGGTGGTGGTGGTCCCTACGCTCGCGGCCGACATAGGGACGCACCGAGGTCAGGGCCGTCTCAAAGTTGGGGTCCTGAGAGCGGACGGCGTCGCGGCGGCGGTCCATGGCGAGGGCGTGGCTCATGTGACCCAGGACGATGGAAGGGCGGGTATCGGGATTCGTGAAGATCTCGTTGTTCGCTGCCTCGGCCACGCCAAGCCCGTCTTGCATCAGGCAGATGGCCGTCCTGTCATCGACGCGGTGCTTGACCTGCTCCAACAGCTTGACCGTGTGGCTCGGGGGCCCCGCGACGACCAGATTGCTGATGTGCCCTTGGTTCGCTTCCTCCTGGGCAGCTCTTGACTGAGCCATACCTGCGTTGCTGTCGATCCAGTTCTGCGACCTGGACGGCCGGGACCGATGCCGCCGTGCGTTGCCAGAAACGTTATTGTAGCTGTTCTTCAGGTGAAACGGGCTTTCTTTGCCAGAGTGTATCGTCTGTATTGAATCGTAGACCCCGTAAAGAGAATGAGAGAGGAATTTGGATCTGGAATCAGAACCGAGGATGTGGACCGTTCGGGAAGACGGGGGCGCTGGCTCCTCGTGGCCCATCATGACTGCCGGAACGTAGAATCTGTTCAACGAGTCGGCACGGAATATGGCGTAAAGCTCCTGGTCGTTCTGCTCGGGCATCATGCCCAGAACCTTCTTGAAGCCTTCCTTCTTTTCGTGCGTGATTCCTAGCGTCGCCGCACCAGGAACGGTTGCGGCCATCTCCTTCGGCGCGATCTTGCCGGGCGAGAGGGTGGCTGGTGGTTGTCCAGATCCCAAGACAGGACTTCGTGGTGCGCCTACTGAGACGGATCTGATGGCTCCCCGGCCCGCGGACAGACTACCTTGGCTCCATCTTGCGTATGTGTGAGGTATCCGGGCGTGAAGCCGCGGTCGGGGTAGTGTAGCCACGGCGGTAGCCACGGTGGCAAAGGTCTGAGGGAGTCGGGTTCAATCCGTTGTCGGCATCGAGCCGTGGCTCTGCGCAAGGGGCCGTCGGGACACGATAGATGCTAGGAGACAAGTACAGAGGTACGTAAACCGTCGTCAGATTGATGTTATGCAAGCAGGGAAAGTCGGTGGTGACTCGGGACCGTGTTTTGCTGGCGAGTAGGCCTCTATCGACAATGGGAATCTTGGAGTATGGTGACGGGGACATTTTCTGCTCAAACCCACGCGATGAGGATGCAATCGAACCGTCAATTCCCGCCGGCGCCACCCTGCCAAGCTGACTAACCACGACTGTCTTGGTGCCAATCCTCATAGATGCATATAGCCACATCATTGCATCTCATCTCAAAGTGAAATTTCACTTCAACGGGCAGTAGAGACTCTTTCATCAATCATACGTTCATTGACAACAGTTTCGGGGTCCATACCCTAGCAAAACCAGGAAATCCAAGGAGACAAAGACGCGCCAAGATGGATGTCAAGACTATCATTCCCGATCTCGAAAGGCTGGACGGCACGATCGATGAGCTTGAGGAGTCTCTGGAGCCGCTTCTCAAGGGCCTTCCTGAGATGTCCTCAGAACTCCCGCTCCTGGACAAGGCGAAGCTCATGACCTTGACAGCGTACTCCATCGAGTCACTTCTGTTCTGTAAGTCTCAACTTTTACTTCACCTGATGAGTACCAAATGCTGATCACGCGACAGCCGCTCTGCGTTTGCAAGGAGTCGATGCCGCAAACCACGAAGTCATGACTGAGCTCAAGCGAGTGAAGCAATACTTTGCAAAGATTCAGAAGGCCGAGGAGCCCCCGGCGCAGCGCACAACATCAGTGAACACGGAAGCAGCAACTCGCATTCTCAAGGCCGACCTTGTAAGCACAGTTATAGACCAGCGCGCCGCACAGCTCTTGCTAACAGACATAAAGGGCAGCAATAGCAAGGACCTGAAGCAGAAGTTGGAGGAGAAGCTCGCAGAGGAACGCGCCAAGGCCCTTCTCAATTCTATCCAAAATAGTAAGAGGCCTGCCCAAGACGACACAAGTGCCGGCCAAGGCAAGAAGCAGCGAGGCGGCGCGTCCGCATCCAATGGCGGATCTCGCCAGAAGAACAAGAAGCGGAAGGCTTGAGCTGCCGGCGAAGTGTGAGTATGACAACTGACCTTTGAGGCTCATGGGCTACTCGTGAGGAATTGGGTCTCGCGGAGCACATGGATGGACATGAATGATACCCCTTGGTCTTCACTGCAGGTACGTGGAGACTGCACAGCAGGAAAGGCCTGATGGCTGCCGCGTATTTCACCAGACAGATAAGCATGGTTCTGCAAGGCAGATCAATACGGAGGAAGCAGACTTGCGGAGCTGCTGCAAAAATTTGACGCTTTGAAGGAGAATACGTCTTCATTCATGATCAAACGGAGGTCGCTCGCAATTCCCACGACTGGAGTGTACTGAACACTGAGCCCTTCATCTGAGTAGTCGACCAACAGCGGAGGAACGAATAGAATGAGATAATCGTCAGGAAACAGCATGCAAGGAAAGCATCAAAATCGTTAAGCCCATGTTCGCTGCCACACCCTGCTATGTGCATAAACAAGGGTCACTTCCCCAGGAAGTCAAAAAATCAGAATTCCCCGCCACCCGATTGGTCACGGCACCGCCACAGACCCTCTTCACCTCCCAAAGCCGAGCTTCGTGTCCAGCATCTTCTTCGGCCATCCGTCCATCTCAACCCATATTTCCCATCCACCGTCCACCAGCCTCGAGAGTCACCTCCTCTTCCGCATCAACACAAGCCAACACAACCACTCCCATCCTCCACACCCCCCCTAAACCAGCCAACATGCCTCGCGCGACACGATCCTCCGGCGGCCGCTCCGCCCCCTCGCGTCCTACTATCGCCTCCAAGCCGACGCCCACCCCCCAGCAGACTCGCCCGGCGACGACCATGGCCGCGCCTCCTACCCACGCCGCCGCTCCTCCCCCAGCCGCCGCGGCGCCCAGCCAGGGCCCCGGCCTCTTCGGCCAGATGGCCAGCACCGCTGCGTATGTTCCTCCACCAGAGGCTCCCCCCGGCTTGCCGACAGCCTCTGCCATTGTCGTCGCAGAGAAAAGAAACAGGCTGACAGAAATCCTCACAGTGGTGTCGCGATCGGCTCCTCCGTCGGCCACGCCATCGGCGGCTTCTTCGGTGGCGGCTCCTCGCCCGCGCCTGCCGAGCAGAACCAGGTCCAGGCCGCGCAGCAGCAGACGGCCCCGAGCCAGGAGTACGGCGCCAACAACTGCCAGCCCGCCCTTCAGCAGTTCACCAAGTGCATGGACGAGCAGTCTGGCAACATGCAGATCTGCAACTGGTACCTCGAGCAGCTGGTACGTTCTTCCTCACGGCTCGCATAGAGAATAACTGTGACTTGCGAGATGTGCTAATCCGTGTCGTGCGTTGTAGAAAGCCTGCCAGGCCGCTGCCAGCAACTACTAGACGGACGGATTGATGGGACCGGCGCACAGCTGTACGATATACAAACGCATGAAGACTCAAAACAAAGCCTTGGGGGAGGAACAGGGAGTGGCTCTTGGAGGCATTGTTGCCGGTTTGGTGACGTCAAAATGGTAATCTACTAGATATTGCATCCCCACACTGCGGTGTACAATACAGGATATTCCGCTCCTCGTTTGCATGTTTTACCAGCTCTCCTGAAAATGATGAAAAGAATGACCCTGCCACTGGCGTCGCTCCTCTCGATACTGTAATACTTCATGTCTCCTCCTCGTCTGGCCTCGGCTCAAAGTTGAGCTGCTCCATTGTCAGTCATGCTCATCTGGTCATGTCAAGGCGGCGGTTGTTGCTTACCGAGTTCCCGTTGTACAGCTGCTGGTCTCTCTGGTTGAGATTCGCCAGCTGAGAGAACTTGCCCTTGCGCTGCTCTCTGACCTGGGCAGCCTGCGCCTCCGCCTCCTCCCTGTCCCTTTCCTCCCTCGCCCGCTCCCTCTCCGCGCGGCCGGCGCTCGACCCGGAGAACATGCCTCTCACGAGGCCCCACAGCCAGGCGAGCAGCCCGATGAGGCTCCCAAAGAGGACGAGCGGTAGCTTGAGCAGCCCGCGGCGCGGCGCCTGGTAGGCTTCGGCGTACTTCTTGACGGGCGCCAGCATGAGCGTGGCGCTCGGCGTGAGGCCCAGCTCGGCGAGCGTCTTGCCCTCCTCCGTCTCGTCGACGCGACGACTGGGCTGCGGTGGCGCTGCCACAATCTTGAAAGTGTAGGGCGCCTGGCCGTCGGTGCGCTTGTCGTCGACCCAGGCGCGCACGGTCGTCTTGAGCGTTGCCTCGGTGCTCTCGAAGCGCGTGCGCAGCGACGACCCGTCAAAGAGGCGCACCTGGATCGCCGCCTGCCCGCCGGCGGGCTTGACGGAGCTTGATGCGGCGCTTGCCAGGGAGCCGGCGACGTCGCCGAGTTTGGGCTCGCGCGCAGCCGCCGAGCGGGCCTGGCGCGCGAGCTTGTCGTCCTCGATGCGACGCAGGATGCGGTTGCGCTCGTCGGCGGCATCCTGGCGTTGCTTGCGCAGGGTCTCGGCGTGGCGCCGCTTTTCGACGGCTTCGGGGGCAGGATCCGTCGCGGCGGCGGCAGCACGTGCGGCGCGGGATTCCTTTGCGTTGTGCTCCTCCTCCAGGCGGCGGGCTTCGAGCCGGGCGCGACGCTCGGCCATGACAGCGCGTAGGGCAGCCGCATTGCTCTCTTCTTGCGTGGGCGTTGGAGCGCCGGCGGATGAGCTGGAAGACGACGTTGACGGTTGGTGAGTTTGAGGTGGGGTCTGGAGGGAAGGCGTTGTGGCGGCGGCCGAAGCGGATGGTGCTGGCGTCGTTGTCGCCGAGGTAGTGCTGAAAGCTTGGGAAACTCGCTGGATGAAGTCTCCTTTGCTGGTGCCAGAAGTGATGTAACCCTTGAGATCGCCATTCTTGATAATAACCAGCGTGGGTGTCTTTGGCAATGGAAATATGGCAGCGAGATGGCCTGCTTCTTCTGAACCGGCCTCAAGCCGCATCAAGATGGCTTGGTTGCTCAAGAGGTTCTTGATGGGCGCATCTTGCATGTAGTCATCCAGCCATGTTCGGCTCTCCTCTCCGTCATCTGTGAGGCACGTGAGTGTGGGGTTCAGGTGAGGAAGCACGGTGTACGCATGGGATGGGATGCATACCCGTTACGAAGCATGCCACGGGCTTGCCCTGCAGAAGCGCGGCAGCAATACCCTCCTGAAGGCTGCCCTCGAAGAACATGACGATCGCTGAGGGTCGTGTGTGAGACTGGATGTCGACCACGTCGTGGTGGGGAAGCTCTCGTGATCGACGGATACGGTCGGTGCTGGGACCTCCACGAAGCTGGCCCTGCCTTAGGTAGTATCTTGGGGAGTGCAATGGAGGGCCCCGGGATGGAAGAACGCTGAAGCTTGAAGATATATGATGACTTGCTTGGATAAAGACTCCCACCTGAGAGAATCCAGAAGCATCCGGTTACAATCTCCCTTTAGGACATGAGGCGTGAGGTAAGGTAAGATGGAAGGACAGGCCAGACAGATGCCTGCCCGGATGATGCTGTCCTGATCCATGCATCGCGACCCCTGTCAACGGGCGGGCTCCATTGTCGAGCTTCCCATTGGTCATCCCAAGGACAGCTCTCCACATACCCCGCCATATGCATATGGCCAAAGCTCCATCGACAAAGGTGCATTGTTGCATTGATGCATCACCCACCAATGACGGCTTGAATCTTTGGACCAAGACGAGATGCTCCCACTTCTCCCCCACGACATAATCTCACCACCACCATGGCGTCTCCAGCTGCCCCATTGCGGCTCCTCACCAGGATATCTCAAGGGCCAAGATGTCTAGCACCTAGAAGCAATTGGGTCTTCAAGGCCCAGGGGCCCATGGTCCCCCGACTGGCAGCGTCCCCCTCGACTCCGATCCGCACCTTTCGCACCACCCCGTGGCGCCTCGATGACAACAGCAAGAAGACGGGACCCGACTCCGACAGCGCCGGGCCCGGCGAGTTCTTCTCCCTCGTCGACAATCCGGCGACCCTCGTTCGCTCCGGCGGCAACCGCTCGCGCGTCGGCCTCTTCTTCCTCGCCATCATCCCCGTGACGGCCTTCTTCCTCGGCACCTGGCAGGTCCAGCGCCTCGGGTGGAAGTCGGAGCTCGTCGCCCGCCTCGAGGACCGCCTCGTCCGCGAGCCGCTGCCGCTGCCGCCCCAGATCGACCCCGACGCCGTGGCCGAGTTTGACTACCGCCGCGTCTACGCCACGGGCCGTCTGCGGCACGACCGCGAGATGCTCATCGGGCCGCGCATGCGCGACGGCGAGCAGGGCTACATGGTCGTCACGCCCCTCGAGCGCGACGGCGACGGCAGCACCGTGCTGGTCAACAGGGGCTGGATTAGCAAGAAGATGGGCGACCAGCGCGCGAGGAGCGCCGAAGCCCTGCCGACGGGCGAGATCACCGTCGAGGGCCTGCTGCGGGAGCCGTGGAAGAAGAACATGTTCACACCCGAGAATCGTCCGGACAAGTGGGAGTTTTATTTTCCCGACGTCAAGCAGATGGCTGCTCTGACCGGGAGCCAGCCTGTGTGGATCGAGGCGACAATGGGTACGAACTTTGGAACCCTGTCCAGCTCCTCCCTGCTGAGGTGGTCTTGCTAACACTCGCAGAACCCGAATATCTGCGCTTTATCGAGCTCCAGACCCAAGGCATACCCATCGGCCGCGCTGCCGAGGTCAATCTGCGGAATAATCATGCGCAGTACATCTTTACCTGGTAAGTGTCCTCAAGAGATGTCCTCCTCCCATCCCCGGTGTTCCCCTTTCCTGACTCCTAGCAGGTACGGTCTCTGTGTGGCAACCTCCATCATGCTGTACATGGTGGCGAAGAAGCCGTCATCGGACATCTCCAGGCGCGTCCGCATGAGTAAAAATTGGTAGGCTGGGTACTTGCCGGCATCAAGCCACTTCCGCCTCGTCTTGTTCTTCGTCTCGGCCCGTCCGGCGGCGCTTCTTGGGTGTCACCGGGAGCGGCATGCGTATCTCATGTACCAGCTCGGCCGGGAGATATTGTGTCGCTAATGAAAAGGTCGAGGTCGTCTCGTTGACCTGGCGTTGTCTGTATACCACTGTTAGATAATGGGGACTTGTCCAGAATGATTGATACCCAAAATTTACCTCTTCATGACGAGTTCCATGTCACTCTCGTTAATCGTCCTCCTCCCAGCGTGCGCCGCGTACGCGCCCAGATCTTCAGAGACCTGCTCGAAGAACCAGTCAGTCGCTTGCTGCAGCGCCGCCAGCGTATCTTTGCCGATGCGGGGATTGGATATGCCGCTGGTGCGCGCGAACTGCTCGGCAACTCGTTTGACCACGGTAGAGGGAAACGGGGGGTAGGAGTGGCCGTGCTTCGACCTCTTCCAGCCTGCCTTTCCTGCCCGGGGCTTTCGCTGCTTGCTATCGATCTCGCTGTGAGCCGTCACCTCGGCATCCGGCAATTCCTCGTTCAGTGTCTCATCACCCGATGCTTCGCCAAACGGGTCAGGCTGGTTGGCATCGCTTGCCAGCGCGTCAAAGGTAGCTTCCATCAGAGCGCTTGGGTCTTCCTCCATTACAGGACCAAGATCGACCTCTATTTCATCGGGTGCAACGTCGACGGGCCGCGTCGGTGAGCTCTGGGGGCCCAGGCCCATAATGAAAGTGGATGCGTCGGGGTCTGCATCTTGCGGAATGGCGAAGCCAAAGTCACTCGGCCGGCCGCCAAGAGTCTCGCGGCGCTCTTCATCAATGCTGATTTTTTTTGTCAGTGGTTGTCAAGGCGGTGCATCTTCCAATGTCACGTACCGCTCCAAGGTTGCATCCACAGCACCCTCGTCATCCATGCCTTCATCTGCGTCCATTGATGGGAAGAAGCCTTGGCCGGGTGCGTCTTCGTCGCTCAGGGTATCCCTCACATTGTAGAATTCAGACAGGCGTCTGCTGGCGAGCGAAAGGCGTGATGGCGCTTCGCTATAGGCTCGCCGTGGAAGCTCCAGGGTGGGGTCTTCGAGGATCGATGAGCGCGGCGGTACCAGATCCGAGTCGTCATCCATATCAAGCGGCAGTGTCATCTCGGGCCTGTCTATCGGGAGCTCATCGTCGTCGTCGTCTTGCGCGGCGCGCGTTGAGCGCCTAGATCTCGAGGGCACATCCCGCGGTGACGATGACGTCTCCACGGGCTTAGATCTCGGCGCTAGCGCTTGACTCAAAGCCCTCAGGTTGTCAAAGAGGGACTCCCGGCGCCGTACGCCGACACTCTGGCGCCTTCGACCTGGCGTCATGGCTGCTCGCCGTTGGTCGAGGTACTGCGACGCTGCTCTGGCGTGTGGTGTTGGCGCATTGTTCTTCCTGGTGGAGGCAGAGTATCCCTTGTGTGTTGAGCTATCGAGGTAGTCTCTTCGGGGCTGCTTTGGTGTGCGGAACGCGCGATGACTTGAAGGGGGTTCGTCGCTTCGTGCGCGTAGACGGAGGCTGGGAGTCGCTGCTGAGAAGGTGGCATCGTATGGGCGAGGAAGGCCCCGCGGCGTTGAGGCGACGGACGAGTCCATCGTGCGCTGTCGGGTGCGTATGTCGGATTATGGCCAGGTGAATGTATTTTGGTGGAGGTGGTGCCGCATGTGATTATCCTCGTGCCGTCTCGCAGCACCTGCTTTCGTGGGGTTGTCCGTGGCTTGTGTTGATGGATGTCTGTAGGTTGATTCGAGAGTGGTGGAGTCAATGGACCAAGTACATGGTCCGTTGACGGGACGCGACTGCCAACGCGACTTTGACGAGACGGACCCCGCAACTCGCGTGGGAAGCTGCATCTGTGCACGGACCAGTGATCCATCCACCTAACTCAGGGATGGATGCGAACCTGGGCACGTATCAGCATATGTGGTCCGTGCATATCAAACACTGGCAGCAGAGCGCAGCCACAGGCTCGACGCACCATGCCGCACACTACCCTCCATTTCACAATTCAACGCGCTATGCTGCGTGATTATCCCAAGTTCAGAGTTGCCACATTACGGACAAGCCACCATGTTTCTTCCGTAGCTACCTAGTGGGAACGCATACTCCGTTTCCAGGCAGCTCATAGCCTAAGGTATGAGAGTGAATTATATATCGCTGATACGATCTACCCTTAAAAAGCACGGCAACGTCCCTCTCAGGTGATTGATAATGATGATACTGGTATATTTAATGCTACTATGAATCCTAATCAGGCCAAAAGGCACCCGCGTCCTCGCACCGCCTTCTGCCGGGTCTGTTTGAACCACCGTACGTGAGCCGATGTTCTACCGACTTTTGGAGGGGCCTCCGTCCACGAAGAGGGGCAAAGCTCAAAGCCTGTCAACGTCATTCAGAATTGAGCGATAGTTGGCGCAACTACCGAAACTACCTACCCAAACGGACTGCTTCGGTCCCTCGCGACGCCAATTTATCGCTTTATTACGTCGGAAGCTACCCGAAAATTTTGAGACATGGACGATTCAGAGCTTGACCAGGTAAGCTGCTTGACGCCGGAGCAAGCGCTTGGAGGGAACATCAAGGTTAACGCAGCGGAAGATCCGCAAGGCTCGCCTCGAGCAGCTCAAGGCTCAGGGAGGCAGCAGCGGCGGTGGCGGCGGCGGTGGCGGTGGCATCGGAAAACAGGAGCAGGCCGAGCAAAGACAGTACGACGATCCCCCATTTTCTCGCGGCTCGACTACTCTGGCAGCACGCAGGCTAACCATGCGCCGCACAGACAGCAGGAGAATGAAGCGCGCCAGCACATTCTGGGTCAGATTTTGCATCCCGAAGCTGCGGACCGCCTTGGTCGTATCCGTCTCGTCAAGGAACAGCGTGCCACCGAGGTCGAGAACCGCCTCATCATGCTGGCGCAGTCCGGGCAGCTCCAGTCCAAGGTGACCGAGGCGCAGCTCAAGGAACTACTGAACGCCGTGGCCGACAAGCAAGAGGAGGAGAAGATCGTGGTCAGCCGACGCAAGGGGTGGGACGATGACGACGACGACCTTTTCGACCTGTAGGGATGCGTTCGCGCCCACGCGAGAGCATCGATGACGAGTTCGAAGATACCATTGGGGGTCCTGGCGCAACGGAGTTGTTGATTTTGACGTGGCATCTGTTTTGAACAGTGTTGTTCCTGTTTGTCTGTGGAGGTGCCCGAACCGCCGTGTCGGCACTGCCTTGTGATACAAGAAAATGGCTACAAGTGGACGCATGATGTACAAGTCTTCTTCTCTGTTGCCCTAGGCGCTGCTGCCCGTCGCCTCGTTTCGCCTCGCCGTTTCTTCTTTTGCCTTCCTCCTAGCCTCCCTTTCTCGCCTTCTGATCTCTCTCAGATCCGGCGGCGTCTCGATGCCGAGCTCGGCCCTCAGCTCGTCGACGCTGCTCTCCAGCCTCTCTTCCCAGTACACGTTGATCACCTCCTTTGACCTGCTCCCGTTTCGCAGGGCCCAAGGGCCGTAGATGCTGCGGAACCGCGCCCGTTCGCTCTTCTTCATGGTGAAGTAGCTCGCAACAGCCAGCCCCGTCATGGGGATCATGGTGTTCATGAATTCAAAAGCCTTGAGCGCCACTTCCCCCTCGCGATACACGGGGAGGCCGGTCAGAGCGTGGTAAAAGTCGTGGCATTCGCGGTAGCGCTGCATGACGTAGGCGCACTCTTCGTCGTCAATGTAGCGCACGGCGGCGCGCGTGTCGGGGGACACGCCCTCGCGGTCGAGCCAGCCGACGTAGGCGCGGCCGACGGTGTTATCGGGAAGACTACGGAGACGGTCGAGGTTGAGAGAGGTCGATGTCAGGCGTGGGCGGTCACGAAGGATACGACGACCCGTCGGGTCAGCCAGCATAGCATCGCGGAGGCGGGGGAGGAAGTAGGGCGTCGCCGTCGTTTCGCCAACTGTAGCGATGAGATCTAGGCCACGAAATTGTCAGAGTGCCTGGCGGACAAGAACGGGGTGCAGGGAGCCTGACCTCCGCGTCGCGGATCAACCAAGGACATGAGGCCGGAGCCAATGGCGAGACTGGCACGCTCGATGGTCGTCAGAGGCACATGGCCAGGATAGTTTGGCGGGGGCCGGTTGAGGACGGAGAAGGGTCGCGGTGCTGAGCTGCCTGACGTGCATGTCGCAGCGCGACCTACATGGCGCGCATTCGTAGCTGATGGAACCCTGCAGACGGACTTCATATTGTCTGCTAAAGTAGAGGGTTGCGAGCGCTATGAAGGCAGAGGCTCACAGATTGTTGTGTGATGCCGTCGTACGATTAAGGCGGTGGATGCCACGGACCAGAAAGCTTGCAGCTTCCTGTTCCTCGTCAATCCATGAGATCACGGAGCATCGGTGCGGGACCATCCCGACAGTGGGTCCATGCTGCTAGTGGGGGAACGTGCAACACGCTGTGCTCCCTCCCTGAAGGCTACTTTAATCATGGCAACGCCTTCTCGCTTTCATGGTACAACGGAGTAAACTCGTCCAAGACACCAGACAGCAATACGTCAAACCCATCAAACATGCTTGGCCCCCGATCGAGTCAGGGCTATTCATAGTTGGCGACCCCATCCACAATGACGGCCTCTCTAAACACTATAGACACTGCCGATTCGCCAGCGACTCAGAAGTATCGCAATAGGGTGCAGCGCGATTCCAGCCCTTGGCAATTGCCACCACAGCCGTGGTGCAGTCAGTGCACATCTTGACAATCCCGTCATATGCCACCTCAGCGCGGACAGTCAGCGACATCCACAGACCAAGAAATGCGCAGTGGAGCGTCGCCCGGGTGGATTTGCTCGTCATGCCGATATCCCGACGCCTGTAGATCTGGCGTACGCTGCTCGCGGCCCTCAAGCATTCCGTGAACACCTTGTGCGGCGCGGCTCCGTCTTCGACAAGCTGTGCGCGATTAGGGTGGAGGATTGTGCCGCTATAGTTGACCCTGTACCACTCTTTGTGCTAAACATGGACAATGTACTGCTGGTTCGTGGCAGGCATGGGGGTGCGGTGCGAAACCACTCCTCCAGATCCTCGCGAAGCTGTGTGGTGTAGGCCTGCCTGCTCTCTACGTTGAGGAGATTTGATGTATAGGCGGAGGTATGCATGCGGGCCCATAGCCGTCGAAGGCAGATGACATGGATCGCGTTGGAGATGGACGTAGGTGGGTGGGCTAAAGTGATCCGAGGCGAATCTTTGGAGCCTTACTTCGGTGACAACATTGTCGTCAATACCAATGGGGAGCTACAGTCAGGGATTCCAAGGTCCGTTCGCGATGCTGCCGATCTACTCAAGGGGGGGAACACACCTCAGCGTCCACCTCGGCCAGTTAAACGCCCAGAGGACGCCCAAGTTGCATGGCATTTGCGCAGTCTATTCCCTGAGCTCACCAAAAGCCATATTTCGCAGCTCAACCTGTAGCACTAGCTGCAGCACATGTTCTCGTTTGGTGTGATAGCCCAGCTCGATGCATTGGCGGAGGGCAAGGCCGGATAGTTGCCTGGGACATTGTGGAAGCGTCAGCGAAGGTGATCTTGGACAATATGGCTTTGGGCTCTCTTCGTAGAACTCTGCTGATCCGAGCCCCGCAGCGACGAAGTAGTTGCCACATGTGAGGAGCAGCTTGTCTTTTGGACCAAGACCCGTTGCCGGTTCGCTTGGCGAACTGTCGGCAATTCGCTTCTTCCAAGACAACTATATTATTCGGGCCTCAATGGCACACAAGGGGTCAGAGGTACACGTGAAGATTGACCAGAGAGCAGATACGTACTCGACCTTCTTGCCAAAAGACATCCGGAAGACTTTGGATAAATCAGCAGAGGCGCTGTCACAGCCATCGGAAGGCCTATAGAAGTTCTTATCAAAGGGGCATTGGTCGAGGATGGCAATGTCTCTGTAGCCTCCGGTTTCATCACCAGGCAAATGATCGCCTGCTTTTCCCCGAACATGAATAGCCTCATCGCTGCCCGTATAATCTCCGACTAAGGCATCAGCTCACTTAGTGTCATCAGCCCCATGGGCCTGGCGTTGACAACAGCTAGCTTCCGCGTTCTGGGCATTTACGAGAACATATCCGCAAGCAAACTGCATTATCAAATTCCACTCATCGCTATCTCTGTTTTCCTCTTCCTCCGCATCCTCTCTAGCTTTTTCACCAGCAAGTCACCAAGACGGCCGATGCTTGTCGCCGGAAGAGAAAAAGCAAGCGAGGTGCTCAAGCGGCTATGTCGCCTCTCCGCGGATCATCTTGCGTGGCACCAGAGCTTACAGATATCCAGGCATCGAACATTAGCCCAGCGGGCGACGTGGAGGCAACAGCTTGCTGTCCGTTGTTAGAGAGACATTCATCGTATCCTCCAACCTGCGCCGGCTGCAGCAGGTACTGATTTGTGTGCCCTAGCCCAGCTCTCAGCAGCGAACTCGCTGACGGCGTACTTCATACCTATTTTTGAAATGTTTCATAAGGGGTCGCAAATAGACACGTCTGAGAATATCATCCTCAGTGGCATGTGCTGGTTGTCCATGCTCTGGTTTAGCTTGATTGCTTCTTCTTTTTCATCGATATTCTTGGCCGACGCCGTTCGCTGTTCATCAGGATAATGGCGCAGATGATCTCGCACTTTTACATCAAGGTCTTCATCAGGTACAGCCAAGAGGCCACGGTATCCAAGGCTGCATCGCGGGTTGCTGTTGCGGCGCTGTTTGTGCACGCGTTCGGATATGCTGTGGGTACGTTTTTCTTTGATTTCAACAACGGCGAGAGACAGAACTTGACAGTTAAGGGCGGAAACAGGTCTCTTTATCCTTCCGTATGTCTTCAGCGGCGAGGTTCTGGCCCAATTGCGTCCGATCTTTTGGCAGCGCCTTCGGCCAGAAATTCCACTGGCTGTTCATCTACGTCGTAAAGCATGCGGATCCTGGTCGTCTCAAATCCACGGACAATTGGGGAGCGTTTTAATTCTTTGCGGGTTGGTGCTCTGTGGGCCTCATATACGTGTTTCTTATGGTCTCCGAGATTGCTGGACTGAGTTATGAAGAGATTGATCAGGTCTTCGAGGGTTCCTGGCTGCACCGCATGGAGGACTGCTCGCAACGTCAACAGGTCTCCAGGGATGAATAGTTTCGAGGGCTAGCAAGACCTGGACAAGGGTGACGGCCAGACCACAGGTCCTTGAGCAATCTTTTGACATCCGCCTGAAGTCAAGAGTCCAACGGTGCTGGTATACGGTCAAGGGTCGACTCGGGCTCACAGTGTGTCATGTTGCCAAGTGGTCGCAAAAAGATCTACTCATTTCAGATTCAAGTGTGAAATGGTCACATCATGACGTGGTCACTGAAGGCCTGAGAATCCTTGCTTAGTCACTCCAGGATTCACCAAAGTGGGTCACTTTTCTGCGACATGTTGTAAGAAGCCAAGCAGATGACAAAAAAATTGAGCCGCTCAAATTCTCTCACCAAACAACACCACCACAACTGCTACCAAAATGACTAAATACACACACCCCGACACCCCTACGAAATCCAGGATTCTAGGGGCCATTGATTTTATGGACAAATATAATATACCCTATATAAGAAACCGTGTTTTCGCCTTCAATGGGGTCTCTAATTCTTCTGGATATCGGATTCTGAGAGAACGCAATGAACGCCGCCTCCAAAACGACCCCCAACGGGAAGAGACTCGTGGCCGCCCTCGCACCCTCACGCCCAAGGAGCTCAATCTTATAGAGAAGCTCATCTGGAAAGCTGCATATGAAGCACGTACTATCTCTTGGCAATCTGTTGCTCTCGAGGCTGGCGTTCAGACATCTTGTTCTACGCGAACCATCCAGAGAGCTCTCGGACCCATTGGGTATAGGAAGTGTATTGCCTGCCCTAAGCAATGTGTATCTCCATCAGTCGCCCTACGACGTCTTCAAGCTGCAGAGAAGGCCCTGAAACAACGCCCTACTCCGGAGAGCTGGAGAGATATCCGGTTTAGCGACGAGGTTCAATTTAGTCTTGGGCCCGACGGCAAGGCGCGGATTATCCATAAGCCAGGCGAGCGGCATTGCCCTGACTGTACCCAAGAGTGGATAGAGCCTCAGGAGAAGCACAAGAAGAGACTCTATGCCTGGGCAGCAGTTGGGTACAATTTCATTTCAGATCTCATCTTCTACGAGGTCCCAGCCAGTACCAACGAAAGAATAAGCCAGCAGATCTATCGCGACCGAATACTCGAAGGCCAGGTAAAGCGCTGGCTAGAGGCAGGTCACTCCTTCATCCTGGAGGAAGATGGAGACTCTGGCTATAGCTATAAGAGATGTCGGGCCTGGAAGCAAGCCCATGGGCTACGCTATCAATTCAACACCCAAGGGTCTCCAGACCTCTCCCCTATAGAGAACGCCTGGAGGATACCTAAGCAGCATATCCAACAGCAAACAGACTGGGACGTGGAAGATCTCAAGGCACTAGCTATAGAGGCCTGGCAGGAGCTTCAAGCTCATCCAGAGCGTGTTAATGGCTGGGTCGATTCAATGCCTCAACGGATGAAGGATGTGGTGGAATTGGAAGGCCGGATCACTGGATGGTAGATAGCTTATTCTGGGCAGTGTGAGGGATTTTAGTGTCTCGACTTTTTTGTCATCCGCTTGAGTGCTTGACATAAACCCCACTTGTGTGGTTTGTTTCCGGTGATCCAGATTGTCGGAATCGCACTTGGCTACCTACCTTAAACCTAGTGATGAGTCTTAGGCCAAACGGATGGTATCATCTCTGCGACTCACCACTGCCAGCGTGTCACGTTTTCATCGATCCTTTCTCTTGCTATATTCTACAGTTTTCATTTAAGGCTCATTTGGAAGCCTGGGGTTTGCTTGCAAAACCAATCTACTCGCAAATGTTCGTTCTGATCCCGGTCCTGACTGAAGTCGTCGACAAGCTTATATTACCTACCTACTCTCTGAAATCACAGCTCACGAGAACATTGAAATTCACCAGACCGTGTTCAAAAGCGTCACAAGCGTGAAACATGTCTGATATCATACACGACCTGCTGGACTGGTCCAAAACTCAAAAGGTCGTCCTCAACGGCATTAAGCCCAACGCCTTTCCCGGCCGGGGTATAGGTCTCATCTCAACCCGTGCCATCAAAGAAGGTGATGTCGTTCTCGAGGTCCCCACGTCAGCGATCAAAACCCTGGACGATCTCCCGTCGAGCCTCCGCAAGAAACTACCATCTCCTCCGGACACGACCGTTCACGCCTTGCTCGCCCTCGACCTCGCCACGGATGCCTCCTCCTGCCCTGCCCCCTGGCGGGCCGTCCTCCCCTCCCGCGCCGACATTGCCACCATGCCGCTGACCTGGGACGAGCGCCTGCACCCGTACCTGCCCCCGGCGGCCCGCGAGCTCCTGAAGCAGCAAAAGACAAAGTTCGACAAGGACTTTGCCAACTGCGTCGCCGCCGTCCCGGGCCTCGACGAGTCTCGGTACCGACACGCCTGGCTCCTTGTCAACTCGCGTACCTTTTACCACACGTCGCCCCTCACGGCCAAACTGCCCAAGGAGGACCACCTCTCGCTGCAGCCCGTCGCCGACCTCTTCAACCACGCCGCCCGCGGCTGCGCCGTCGCCTACTGCGACCTCTCCTACACAGTCACCGCCAACACGTCGTATCCGCGCGGCGCCGAGATTCCCATCTGCTACGGCCGCCACAGCAACGATTTCCTCCTCGTCGAGTACGGCTTCATCCTCGAGGGCGCCTCCAACGAGTGGGACGAGGTCTCGCTCGACGACGTGCTGCTGCCGCGTCTTCGGAAGCCCGCGACACGTAAGCGGGAGCTCGAGGATGCCGGCTTCTGGGGTCGCTACGTGCTGGACGCTGATATGGTCTGCTTCAGGACGCAGGTCGCCGTCCGGAGCCTCGTTGTGCCCGAGTGGGTGTGGGAGATCGTTTGCTGAAGGGCGGGACGAGGGGGAGGGCGCCCAGTGGAAGGGTGGACACGGAGCTGAAGACGATGCTCGAGGAGTATGATGAGCAGATTGAAGCTACGATCAAGGAGGTCGAGTCCTTGCAAGTTGTCGGGCGGAAGCGGCCCAGAAGGGAGAACATCGTGCAGCGATGGCGCCAATACAGATCTTCGTCGGGGCTGCTATAAAAAGATTTAGCCACAATAAAATGG